AAGAAAAAGCAGTGCAAAAATAAAGATGTCATTAACATGTAATTTGTGGATGTGTGTCGTGCCAGCAAAAACTTCAGGGAGCAGCCCCCTCGATTATTTTGGAAACTGGTTGTTGGCCACTTTCTCTCCCTAGTTGAATTGGTGACTGCCCTGTCCCCATCTTCAAGGATCCCACAGGTGATTATGACAAGGCATCATGAGTTCCCTTCCTGGATGGGGGAAAAGAGGATGTTGCCACAAGAACCCCTAAAAGTGGAACACAACCCTGACCTGGAGATCTGGGAGGCTTCCTAGAGGAGGTGCTGTCTCAACTGAGCCCCGGAGGATGAACAAGAGTTAGAGAAAGAGTGTTCCAGGGGAAGGGCACGGCGTGTGCAGAGGTCTGGAGGTGTGAGAGCGAATGGAGCACTGGAGAATTAGAAATGGTTTAGCATGGCTGGGAACTTGAGAAGGAGAGGAGGGAAGAGATGAGACTGGAGGTGGGGGAGGGAGAGTGGAGGGAGAGAGGCAGAGGGGAGGAGATGCACAAAGGGGCTGTTGCTCTGGAAACCAGGAGGCCAAACCACCTGGTCTTTTCCTTCAATTAGCAGCACGAGAGGGCCCCAAGGTCCCCCAGCTGGGGTGGGGGTCAAAACCTTTGGGAGCTCTGAGCTTGTTAGGGAAAGAAAACACATCAGTGGAATTCAGGGCTCCCCCCTACCCCCACTCTTTTTAAAGGAATAAATTGTCACCTTCCTACTCAATCTGGCTGCTGGCTCCCCTGGCCCCAATCCAGCCACCCACGAACGCACTACCCTGCTGCCGCCTTTTCAGATGAGTCTTGGGACCCAGCCAGGAGGGGAGGTGGGGAGGCTCAGGGGCCACATTTGTCCACCAGGTCCCCATACTGGGCCCCAGACACTCCCGGGGGCCGAAAGAGTGTCACAGACTCTGGGAAGGTGGCTGCTGCGTTCTGAGGACTCGGTCACCCTCGCTGCCCTCCTGCTGTCCTACGGGTTCCACTGCCTCCTTCACAATGAGCCCTGGCTCTGGGAAGTGAAACTGGTGGCTCCATGTCTCTCCTGTCTAAGCTTTGCTGCCCCTTCTGTGAGTCACTCTTGAGACCACATGAAACAGGGGGAAAAGCATTAGGCAATTTCTTATATTGCTAATTATAGCAGCCATTCGTTGGGTGTTTAGTATGTGACTCCTGGAGATCAGCCTAGGAGGGAGTATCGATATCATCCCCATTTTACAGATGAGGAGACTAAGGCTCAGAGAGGGTAAGTCACTTACTCTCTTGGCTCAAAAGTGGCAGAGCCATGATTGAGACTGTATCGAGACTTGAGTCTGACAGATTCAGAAACTCCTGAACAGACTAGCGCCTCTAAAAGATATCTTCTTTCCAGTCTTCGTTTTCTCATTTGTGAAATAAATCTATTAAACACCAAATGTAACAATTAATTAAGCAAATAAGTCGATGTTTCCTGGGTGCCTATTTGGCTTGAGGTCTGTGTCCTCGGGTTACTCCCAGTCTGGAAGAAGGAACTTGCACATGGCAGAGTCATCGCATACTAAGTATTCTAGAAGTATGTACAAAGTGACCATAGAGGAGTGGCAACTGGACAGAATGTCCAAGGGACACTTTAGGATCTGGGCTGCTCTAGGAGGTAGGAACACTGTTGCCTAGGTCTCTATGCTCCAGGTTCAGAGCTTGGACTCTGGAGTCAGATGGTCCTAGTGGGAAACTCAGCTCTTTGTGCCTCAGTTTTCTCATCTGTACAATGGGCATGATCATAGTGCCTACTTCACAGAAAAGCCAGTTCCAGCTCAGAGGTAGGGATTCTAGTAAGTATTAGATATTATTACAGTAGAAACAGTCTGGGTCCCAGAACCTTTCCCAGAGCTGAGAGTGCAATGCCAGGCTCTTGGACGGCTGAGGGAGAGGCTGCATAACTTGACTCATTCCCCATCTACGCTTCTGAAGCCCTGCAGAAGCAGGTCCTGAGCTTCAAAACACTTTGCTATAAATTTCCTTTGCTACAGAGAGTTCTTGGGCTCAGGAGTCAGGGAAAGGAAACTTTTTGATGGTAGAAGAAGAATAATAAATGTTTACGTAGCTCTTACTCTGTGCCAGACACTGTTCTGAGGGCTTTACATTCATTAATCCACTTAAACAATGAGATCAAAGGCAGGTTCAGAGAAAAGGTTTCGGGAAAAGGATTTAGTCTGTCTAAATCCTCCCAAGTCTCTAAGAGATGTCTAAAGAGTTTTTTTTTCCTCCAAAACATAGGGGGTGGCCAAGTTGTGCTATTTGCATATGTTTGCATATGCAGGGAGTGGGTGATGAAAGGTCTGGAGTAGTCAGATGAATGACCCATGACCTGTGCCCTGTTATGCATTGTACCTAAAGGCTGGGGGTACACAGAAGAAGATGAAAAACCAAGCCCATTCTCAATAAGGAGGGCCTTGGAGGTGCATGTATTCTCATGGTCTGCCGGGGCCCACAGAGACCCCTAAATCCTCCCTACAACATACCAACATGCATGCTCCTGCTCACATGCACCCATAAACTCACACACATTCCCTCTGTGTTGAAATCACTTTCCTCTAGAGAATCTATCTGCATAGGCTGAAACTGGGCTTCCTGTAGGGCTGGGAACCTGAGAAGCAGTAGAACTGCCTCTTGGACAGTGATGACCATGGTTGGCTCAATTGGCCTCTGTAGCCTCAGTTTCCATAGCCGCAATATGGAAAGGTTGGGCTGAGTGGATTTCTAAGACCCATCCTTCCAATTCCACACTCTGAGCTCTCCCAGGTAGCTGAGATTGACACAATCTCAGTACCCTTATCTATAGAGTAGGGATGAGGCTTGGGCACTGATGTTCAGAAGTTCCTTTCAATGTTGAAGACTTTTGTCAGAACAGAAAACTGTCTCCTGGCCAATTCTGGCATAACATCAACAACCACGGTGACAAACATAGTAATGTTAATAACTCATTTTTCAAGTGCTTACTGTGTGCTAGGCACTTCACTTGCATGAGCTCATTGAAGATCTCCAAAACCCTTGATAGGGACCCTTGCTATCCCCACTTGGGGCTCAGAGAGGTGAGGAAACTTGAGTCTCAGACAGTTTCCATGGGCACAAGCTAGTGAAGGACAGAAAACACCCCTAGTTACTCCCGCTTTCAAACTCAGTCTTGGCCCCTTCCCACTTTTGCTGGGCAGAAAGGCAAGATCTTGGGATATACAAGGCAGCCTGCAAGAATATTTTGTTCATCTTCTCTGCTGCTTGCTTACTGCACTGGTGAGGAAACTGAGGTCCAAGAGTAAGGATGCAAGTCATTGTTATGAATGGAATGTTTGTGTCTCTCCTCTTCCCTGCACCTAATTCGTATGTTAAAGCTCTAACTCCCAGTGTGATGGTGTTGGGAGGTGGAACCTTTGGGAGGTGATTAGATTTAGATGGGATCCCATCCTCGTGATGGGATTAGTGCCCTTATAAGAAGAAGAGACCAGAGCTTTCTCTTTCTCTGCCATGTGCAGGTACAGTGAGAAGGCGGCGATCTGCAAGCCAGGAAGAGAGTCCTCACCAGGAACAAAATCTGCCGGCATCCTGATCTTGAACTTCCCAGCCTCCAGAACTGTGAGAAACAAATGTTTGTTGCTTAAGCTCCCCAGTCTGTAATATTTTGCTCTGGCAACCTGAGCTGAAGAATACACTCAGAGAGTTTAGGACAGACCAGAAACCCCTTGCCCAAATGAACTAAGACTATCCCTTATTGTTACCACTAAGGTAGCTAGAGTTAAAACAAAAAGAAAGAAAAGAAAAGAAGGATATCTAGTCAAATTTGATTTCAGGTAAACAACAGATAATTTTTAATATAAATACATCCCATGTAATATTTGGGGCATGCTTACACTAAAAAAGAATTTATTAATATTTATTTACCGGTATTTTATCTGGCAACCCTATCAACCCACTGTTTAAATTCACCCTAACAGTATCACAACCTAATAATTTGGCCTTATGAGAATCTCCATCTTAGTATTTCATTATTAGTTTTACTTGAATGGGGATTTAAAAATGATATCTCTGCCATTGCTATGACAAATAAATCCATATATGAAGGTTATTATGAGGATTAAATAAATTCATATCTGAAAAGGGCTTAGAACTGTGCCTGGCACATAACTAGGGTCATGTGAGTCTTAGTTGTTGTTATTGATATTGCTAATATTATTATTTTTAAACAAGCCTGGAAAGAACCTGGTAGAGGTGACAGTCAAGACTCTCGGCCACCAAATTATGGGATTCAGAACTCTTCTCATCCAGATGAGGGTCCCCCAGAATGAGTACCCCAGCCTTCCTATTGCAAAGTGGAAGAAATTGAGCTCATTTGAAGACCTTCATCCTCCATATGGGACACTGGGAGGCCACATTCCCAAGGCCAACAGGTTCTCATCCCTGGGGATGCCCCACAAGGCTTGGTGTTGCTGGGCCAGGCCTCCAGGGAGGCCATTAGAGGGACAAGTGTCCCTCCCTGCACACCTAACCTCTGGTGGCAACAGCAGCGGCTCTGAAAGCTCCCTGGGAAGGCTGTCGCAGCCAAGGTGGGGCTGGGGCCCAGATCCCTCCCAAAACTACCATGTTCAGACCTTTCTGTAGTGCCAGACACCGTGCAAAGCACTTTCTCCATGTTATCTCATCTGCCTTGCACAGTAGCGCAAAGAGAATGCCACTGTGACCCGACTTTCTAGAAGCTGAGGCTCAGAGAAGTTAAGAAACTTCTTCTATGTCACACAGCTTGTAAACTGCAAAACTGGGATTTAAACCCAGGACTTTTTGTGTCTGGGCCTAGAAGAGTGCCCATGATAAAGGTGGTAGGGGGAAAGCTATGAGGAGACTCGGGTCAGGGCACCCCAACCCTCCAACAGAAGCAGCCAGGCCTCACCGATATAATAAGTACCTGAGAGTGTACGCCTCTCCACCTGCTCCCAGCCCTGGTCCCTGCACTTACCTGGGCTGATATTGATGTCTGTTTGTGGAAAGGCCTGTGCAGAGTGGAGGGTCAGGACGGCTGCAGCCCACAGTGTCCACCTTTGCATCCTGAGCTCCTAGAAAGCAACCTCCCAGCCTGAGTAGATGAGAGAGGCTCTTTGGCTGGAGCTTGGGTCCAGGATTGCTCTCCTAAGGTCAGATGGAGCCTGGCAGGAGCTGGGACAGACTGGATGGACCCCAGTCCCCTCCTCTTTTCTTCCTTTTCTCCTCCCTCCTCTTCACACTGCTGGAGACAGCTCAGAATGACAGCTGAAAGCAAAGCAGCCCTAGGCCAGCCCCCCTCAAAGAACCAAGAGACATTTTAGCTCCCAGTCTTGCCCCTGAACCAAAAGAAATTTTAGCTCTCAGTCTTGTCTCTGAGCCACCCTGTGGCCTTGGGTGAGCACTTCTCTGAGACTCAGTTTCCTCCTCTGTAAAATGGGATAGTAACGAAACTCACATTCCAGCCTGTCACAGGAGACAAAGTATCTCACCTCCCTCAGAGTAAATATGTACCAAAAGGTAAAAATACTGCAAGTCAGCATTGAGTGCAGAGGTCTCCTGGGCCATGGATGTCGTTTATTTGGTCTGCAGTGTTTTAAATTCTAAAAAATTTGTTAAGGTATAAAACCAAGAGGTGTTAGGTATAAGTCGGGATTTCTGCCTTCTATTGGAAAATCGGAAGATCTAACAAAACATAGCCCTCATTTCTACAGGGCAACAATTGCATGGAGCTGAGAAAGAGCATGTCCTTCAGCCAGGCTCTTTGAGCTTCAGTTCACCAAGGTCCCCACCTCATGGGTCTGATCCTGACAGCATCCACTGCTGAGGAAGCACCAGGAAGCCTGTTGAATCAGTCTCCTTTCCTCTCCCTTCACCTCTCAGGGTCTCTCAGGGTTCCTCCAGGGGTTAAAGGAGGCATCTGTAGAAGGTTCAACTGAGTGTTGCACAGAATAAGTGCTCCACAAAGAGGTGAAAGTGTCGTCACTAGTGCATAGCTCTATTGTGTGGCTTGCTCGGAATGCGATGTTTAAAAACCCCTAGTGTTTTCATTGGGATCTCACCGCACTTTTGGAGAATCAATATTTCTAAAAACCAGAGTCTTTCTCCCCCACTTTCTCTGTCCTTAGGCAAGTCACTTTGCCTCTCTGAACCTCAGATTCCTCCTCTGTAAAATGGGGGATAAGTAGAGTACCTACCTCACGAGGATTAAGTGAAGTAATTTGTTTCTAAAACTTGGCATAGATGCTGGCAAGTAGTAGGTACTCAATAAATGACAGCAACAGTTGCTATTGTTGTCATCGATCCAGTGCAAGGCTTTCCTTGGCATCACCCACATCCTCTGCCCCTGCACTCCCTCATTCCTCTCCAGAAATGCTCAGCCAGGTGCCATGACACCTCGTGTGGCTGGCACTCACAGGGAGGACTGGAATGTGTCCGTTTGGCTTCCAAGTCTTCTTTCTGGAACACCTGCTGCTCTGCTTGTGAGGAATAACTTAACTTGTGCCCACACAGCTTGCTTTGCCTGCTGGCACCGGAGCTGAAAGTCTGCCAAGGTCTGACTCAGAATACGAGCACAGCTCAGGCTCAGCTTCAACCTACAGGATGCCTCCTTGGGTAGATCGGTTGCCTCAAAACTAGTGTACTGGTGCATATCCCAGAGCACGCACACTCACTTGTTTATAAATGGGATATATTCATTACATGTTTATAAGTGATGCGCCGGTACAACTCACTGTACTAATGTATTATTTCTGTTATAAAACACACACCCCCACACTGGACATTATTAAAGGTCGATAAAAGATATAAATATGGAAGAAAGTTTGGATATTTTCTCCCTACTCCTTATCATCTTGCAAGCTGAAATTTGGGGGCTCCTACTGTCAGGTTCCTGGGTGCTGCTTGGAATTTAAAAGTGTCTATCTTAGTCTGTTTTGTGCTGCTATACTAGAACATCCGAGACTGGTAATTTATAATGAGCAGAATTTATTGGTTCACAGTTCTAGAGACTGGGAAGGCCAAGATCAAGGTGTTGGCATCTGGTGAGGGCTTTCTTGCTGAGTCATCATATGGTGGAAGGTGAGAGGGTAAAAGAGAGACAAGACACAGAGAGAGAGAGAGCTTTTTAAAGAGGGAATGAACCCACTCCTGCCATACCTGAGCTATCCTTGTGATAACATCTTTGATCCATGTATGAGGGAAGAGCTCTCATAACCCAGACACCTCTTAAAAGTCCTGTAACCTCATCGGACCAGTCTAGTTCAACTTTTACGTAATAAAATTGTGAGTTGTTTTTCATTTGCCGTGGACCCTCAGATTGAAGGTCACGTAACCTGAGCACGCCCAGATGAACCAAGTGTGCAACCACAGGGGGAACCTAAGTGCTCAGACTGAGGAGCAGGGACTGAAATCAGAAGCAGACACTACATGACAGGATCCAGAATCCAATCGGATTGAGCTCTGACGTTACCCTATGGCAGGATCCAATCAGGTCATGCCTCCCCACATCATCTCTTTGCAACGTCCAATCAGATCATACCTCATTACCCTATGCTTATAAAACCTGACCCAAACCCCAGCTTGGGGAGATAGAGTTGAGCATTTCCTCCTGTCTCCTTGCCAGTCGACTAGCAATAAAGCTTTTCTCTTCTTAAAAGCCAGTGCCATCATATTGGTCTCTGTGCACACTGGGTAGCAAGCCCATTGATTGCTCAGTACCAGTACCGCCTCCCAGTATCATCACAATGACAATTAAATTTCAATGTGAGTTTTGGAGGGGACAGACATTCAAACCATAGCAATGTCTCTCTGAGTGTGGACACATTAAGTGGGGAGGAGAAGAGTGGTCCAAAGCAGGCCACTGGAAATCCTTCTAATAAGTGGAGAATCCTTTGATTTGGCAAATAAACCTCCTAAATTATCTGTGTTGTATTGTGACATCTGAAGGTTTTTATAAATCAGTTCATGTACCCTCTCTGAATGGAGACACACAAGATATTTGTTACTTCCTCGAACACAAGTATGGTCCATGGACTAGCGGCACAGGGATCTCCTGGGATCACATCAGAAATGCAGAATCTCAGGCCCCCCACCGCCCCGCAGACCTGCTGAGTCAATTCTGCTCCCCAGGTGGGTTGTGTGTATATTAAAGTTTATGAAACACTGCTCTCGACAGGGTGGGGAACTTTTTGTATAAAGAAGCAGACAGGCCAGGCACAGTGGCTTATTCTTATATTCCAGCACTTTGGGACACTGAGGTGGGAGGATCGCTTGAGGCCAGGAGTTTGAGGCCATCCTGGGCAGCAGGGTGAGACCCCATCTCTACTTAAAAAATAAAATCTTAGCCAGATGTGGTGGTGCACACCTGTAGTCACAGCTACTTGGGAGGCTGAGGTAGGGGGTTTGCTTGGGCCCAGGAGTTTTAGGCTGCAGTGAGCCAAGATCGTGACTGCACTTCAGCCTGGGTGACAGAGTGAGACTCTGTCTCAAAAAAAAAAAAAAAAAAAAAAAAAGAGCTAGACAGTAAATATTTTAGGACTTGTGGGTTATACAACCTCTGTCACAACTACTCAACTCTGCCAGAAATACAGGAATGGACCAGGCAGTGGGCCAATAAAACTTTATTTGCCAAAATAGGCAAGGAGCCAGATTTGGCCCACGGGCTGTCACTTGCCAATCTCTCTTCTAGATCTCAAGCTTTCTGGCCAGAAAGTAGACAATTTCTCCACTTAACGAATATGATCTTTGCTGTCATTTGGAGGTTGTAGGCATCTCTTTGTTACACTGTATGTATTCCTGGCTTCTTACAGTTGTATTTATTGAGTGGTGGCCTATCTCTCCTCTCCCCCAGTACATACACTGTGTTCATGGCATCTTGAAGTTCCATGAAGATTCTCCCTCTCTCTCTCATTTATCTCTCTCCTTCTGTCTGTTTGTCTATCTAATCTCTATCATCTATTTATCTGTCAATCATCTATCTCCCTTAATTTCCTAGCTTTTAAAAAATGTTGTTTATCGATTAAACAAAGTCCCCTACCCCTTCACCACAATTATAAAAGAGGCAATAGATGCCAGTTCATTTCATGGCTTTCAATTCAGATGCATTCTTGTTCAGACTCCAGACCTGTTGTGTGATTATATAACCCTCTAATCCTCAATTTTCTCAACTGCAAAATGGGAAGAAATCAATACTTCCCTCATACAAGTGCTTAGAAAAAATGTTTGTCGCATGATAAGCATCCTATATATGGGAGCTACCATTAGATCACTTTATAACCTTCAAAAATACTGTGTAGGAACGTATCAAGTTGATGTGATGGTTAATTTTAGGTGTCAACTTGACTGGATTGAGGGGTGCCTCAATCCCGGAGATAGCATTGTTTCTGAATGTGTCTGGGAGGGCGTCGCCAGAGGAGACTGACATGGGAGTCGGGACTGAGAGAGGAAGACTTGCTGTCAGTGTGGGAGGACACCATACAACTGGCAGGGAGCCAGCTGGAAAAAATGGTCAAAAGGAAGGGGATTGGTCCTCTCTCTGCTCTCCCTCTTCCTTCCAGAGTGGGACACTTTTTCTCTTTTTGCCTTTGGACATCAGATTCCAGGTTCAGTAATGGGATTCTAGGGATTGCACCAGTAGCTTCTGGGGGCTCTTGAATTTGACGGGAGGCTGCTCTGCTGGCTTCCCTGGTTATGAGGGTTTGGACTTGGACTGAGCCACACTCCCAGCTTTGAGCCACACTCCAGCTTCTCTGGTTCTCCAGCTTGTAGTTGGCCTATCCTGAGACTTCACCTCTGTGACTGTGTTTGTCACCTCCTCCTCAATAATTCCCCTTCCATCTATCCTATTGGCTGTCTCTCTGGAGAATGCGAAAACAGATTTTGGTACCAGGAGGTAGTTCTAGAGGAATAATTTTTTTTTTTTTTTTTTTTTTTTTTTTGAGATGGAGTCTTGTTCTGTCACCCAGGCTGGAGTGCAAAGGCGCGATCTTGGCTCACTGCAACCTCCACCTCCCAGGTTCAAGCAATTCTCCTGCTGCAGCCTCCCAAGTAGCTGAGATTACAGGCATGTGCCACCCTGCCCAGCTAATTTTTTTTTTTTTTGTATTTTTAGTAGAGATGGGGTCTCACCATGCTGGGCAGGCTGGTCTCAAACTCCCGACCTCGTGATCCGCCCGCCTCAGCCTCCCGAAGTGCTGGGATTACAGGCATGAGCCACCGTGCCCGTCCATTTACAGAAAC